AGGGCGGCCCCCTGACTGCTCTGACGCGCGACGAGGGGCAAAGCGGAGCCGTGCTGGGCCAGGCCGGCAGAGCGGGGGGGCGTGCTGGGGGGACTGGCCTTTAGGCCCTGCGCGGAGATTAACGTTCCTCCTCCGCCTCCGCCTCCGCCCTTCAGAGGCCCAGAAGAGCAGGGAGAAGGCCCAGCGGAAGGGGGACCAGGAGGAAGAAGCTGCCCTCTGCAACCGGCTGGGGGAGATCTTGGCGCGGCATGGTGAGCGTCCGACGGGGAAGCCGTCAGCTCAAGTGCGCTTCAGAGAAGCAGCTGCTGCTAACGGGTCGCGTCAGACGGCTCCACTGGTTCGGGAGGAAGCCTGGCGACAGAGAATCCGGCGTGCAGTAACTCTCTGAAGTTGCAAGGGGAGATGCAGGAAACGCAGAGGCGGGATTGACCAGCTTCCAATTCTTGCTGGCGCCTTTGCCTTCAGAGACACGGTCAGCAGGAGGAAGGCCTAAGTTCCGGATCTCCTTGGCTGCGCTCTTTTGCACCTCTGCTCCCAGTTCACTTCAGTAGCCCCCAGTGGCCGCCCTGTCTTACGCGCAGGCTACCCCACAGAAAGCTTCCCGGAGGAGTGAAATTAAGACGTGGCCGTTCTTCCCCACCACTGCTCCGTCCTGGTAGATTTACAGGAGTTCCTTCCTTTGCCATCTGCCATTCACAGCTGTCCCTTCCACCCCCAGGACGCTTCCAGGAGGCACTGGAGGAGCACAGGCTGGAGCTGCAGCTCCTGGAGAGCGTTGACGACGTCATCGGCTGTGCTGTTGCCCACCGGAAAATTGGGGAGTGCTTGGCTGAGCTGGAGAGCTACGAAGCTGCCCTGAAGGTAGGAAGGCCAGGAGACGGAGTGAGAGAGTGCGGCAAACTAGTAGCAAGCGGAAGCATTCTCCGGAGATTGCCGTTATGCGCCAAATACGTGAGACGTCTCACGCCGTAGTTTGTTCTGCTTACTGTATATATATGCCCCGTCATTGTTTACTCCATTTTCCCTGTCAGTCACAACTGCCTTAATTTGACACTTTAATTTTCAGGCCCACTTTTTATTGCATCTTATAGTTGTATCTGAAATTCACTGCAAATGATGTGAGTTCTCATCCAACGAGATTCGTATTAAAAAAAAATTGAATCCAAAAGAATTTGCTTCAGTTCTACTCTTGTGTATCACTATCACCTCCACAGAAATCTCTAAAATATCCCTTCCAGTATTCCCTCCTTTCAGTTTCATCCCAAGTCATTTATCACTTTGATTTTTAATCCCATTCACTCTGCTGGAGGCTCCTTGTTTATCCCTCTTCCCCACTTCCAGAACAATTTCTTATTTCCGTCAAAATCACTCCATACCCTTTTGCGATGCTCTGTGCCATAATTCTTTTTCCTCAGTTCCAGGCAGTTTTCCCATCATTTTCTTTATGTCCAATATCTAGTCATTCTTTTGGGATGCCAATTAATATACAGGACTTGTACTTTTTCTTCCTGCAGTTATTCTACTTCCATTCCTATTCCTCTGAATAATTGTCTTCCATGTCCATTTTTCCTCCACTTCCACTTTTGACACTACCAAAAAATAGTCATTCCCACATTCAGAACTTTTCATCCCTGATTTCTCACTAATTCTCTCAATCCTTCGTTCATCAAGTCAAACATCCTTTTAGATTTATATTCATTCCTTTGCCATGTGCATGCATGCATGAAAACACTTAAGTCACATATTCAGAACAAAGCAGTCCTTTTTGTAAGCAGATTCTCATCAAAAAATTGCCATTCTGATTCATTCTTGGGTATCCATATGCCCAGTCACTTTTTCTGTATTTCTTTTTCTCTTTCCCACCCATCCATTCATGTCACCCTGCAGAGTATTTTTCCTCCTGGGATCACTTTTGTTCAGAATGTTACACAAAATTGTTCTCAAGCTCTCTGGTTCTTTCATTATCACCGTTGAGTGGAATGTAACAAAGTGTCACCAACCTATACTTTCATATGCATCCACAACAACTTAGGTAACAAAAATACATTTTTACTGACATATATTTTAGTACTCTTATTGATAATTGAGTACAGCTGGTCCTCGACTTATAACCATTCATTTAATGACTATTCAAAGTTACGACAGTGCTGAAAGTGATTTATGACTGGTCCTTGCACTTATGACCATCCTAGTGTCCCTGCAGTCACATGATCAAAGTTTAGGTGCTTGGCAACCGGCATGTATTTACAACAGTTGCAGCATCCTGGTGTCATGTGATTGCTATTTGTGACCACCCCAAGGGGCTTCTGACAAGCAGTCAATGGGAGAAGCCAGATTTGCCCAATGCCACATGATTTGCTTAATGACTGCAGTGATTCGCTTAATGACTGCAGCAAAAACAGTCATAAAATCAGGTGTGACTCACATAACAACCACATTGCTTAGTGATGGAACCTCTGGTCCCAATTGTGGTCATAAGTCAAGGACTACCTGTACCCCTTCACTTCCTTGCCTGTATCCACATCTGTGCCACTCCACAAATGTATCAGTCCACCCTTATTTAGTCCTATTACATTTTCTCCCTTTATCTGGGATTCACAGACATGTAACCTATCTGTTTTTCTTTTATTAGTTTTGTTCCTTAATTCATATAATTTACTCCTCTTGCCTTTCAGCTCACAGATCTTCTCTATTTCATTCATTCATTCATTCATTCATTCATTCATTCATTCATTCATCAAATTTGTCACCGCCCATCTCGTGAAATGACTCTGAATGAATGAATCATATGCCATGATTGTCTCCAGACAGGCACACAGATATTGATCTCTGCTGTGCCCACCTTGGCTAAGGTTGATCAAGGCTTTCTTATGATGCTTTTTGACTGGTCTTAATCGTACCTGTGTTACCTGCAGTGTGACCTGTCAGCTGTAAGGACAGAATTGATCAGTCTGGGCACAATTTGTCTAGTCTGCCACAAGTGCAGTGCAGCACAGCACAGTGTTACTCTGAGCAAATTCACACTTGCAGCCAGTCAGCTCAGAGGATTCGTAATAATTTAATATTGGCCCAAAAAGTTGTTTAGGATAGCAATGGCTTAGAATTGTAAAGGGATCCCCACGTATAGCAAGTTTGTTCTGGGAAAACGAGTGGGTGGAGAGACATCTGAAGTTTTGGATTTGAGCTCCTTCATTGGCCGTTCAAAACATGAGAGAATTTCTCTGATAATTTCTCTTGGCTTTTATTTATGCATGTTAAAGGGCAAGTTTCTGGTTCTCATGGTGCAAAAGGCTGTTAGTGGGGTGGCCATGATTAGGGCAGATGCCTGTCCTCTGCTTCCTCTCAAACGTTGTTCTGGCCCAGGGGTTTAGGTGCTTCCAGGACACTAATAACGCAGGCCTGGGAATTCCAGGTGTGAGTCCACCTGGAGTCTAGCAGAGAAAATTTGCTGGGTGGCTCTGGGCCAGGCACTCTCTCTCAGCCCAACCTGCTTTTCCATGCTGGTGTTGTGAGTAAAAATGGAGAAGAGAGTGCTCTGAATGATAATCCCGAGTGTTCATTAATTTTATTTTTCTTAGTCTAGCAAAAGCAAAATAAATGTTGTGGGTGCTTTTCTATTATTTCTTAGTTTGCATTATTCTCTAAGGGGCAGGGTAAAGCTGAAGAGGTGATACTGTCCCCCTGCAAACTTGGTGGCATAGCAAATCTGAATTTAGTTCGCTACTCTGAAACTTTCCCCCATCTGCCTCCTAGCCAAGATAGCATACAGATTTTGTCAACATTTGGACATTCTTCTAGCAGAACGTGGGCTTCCTGCTTGAACTTGGAAGCCAGTGGAAACGTACACGATGTTAATTCTTTCCAGGTCAGGATGATGCTGGCTGTGTTTGTAGCTTAACTAGCTCAGTTGAAGACTCACAGGGTTGCATTTGCACAATATGCAAAACTTTGTTTGTGTTAAACCACCTTGGCTAGTTTTTTTTTGTGGCTTAGTATGTTGTGGAAGAGCAGCCTGCTTGGTTATTTAATGGCGAGCCCAGCAAATGGGAGGTTCAGATGAACAAGGGTAGGGCATTGTGTGAGGTCAGCCTCCTCTCCGTCTCTCTTGCCAGCACCAGCGCCGCCATCTGGAGCTGGCCTGCTCTCTCTCCAATCACGTTGAGCAGCAGAGGGCTTGGGCTACCATTGGCCGTACCTACATGTTCATGGCCGAGAGTGACCAGTCGGGGGAGGCCCTGCAGCAGGCAGAGAGAGCCTTCATGAAGAGCCTGGCTGTTCTGGAGGATAAGCTGGAAGGTACCGTGGACCGAGGCAGGTGGGAGGTGGGGCAGTGCCCCACGGGATACCACATGTGTCTCACCCCTGCTGAAGGTGGAGCAGCCTCTTTGGGGCTTAGATGTTCCTCCTTTCCCCGGTGGATGCTTCCTGAAGGGGACGGAAGCCGGCTGGTCAACAGCAAACTGTCTTCTTCTTGCAGGGGAAGTGCCACAGCGGGAGGTGAGCGAGATGAGGGCAAGGCTCTACCTGAACCTTGGCTTGATCTATGACAGCCTGAGGAACTCAGACATGCGCACATCCTACATCAAGAAGAGCATCTACATCTCAGAGTAAGGGAGCGCTTGGGTTTTCTCTTAAGGGGCCATGGCGTGTCTCCCTCTCGCTGTCCCCCAGGGTTTCATCTGCAGTCTGCTGGAGGTGAGAAGTGACCCTTCCAAAGGCGGTTGGGGGGCGGTAGGGGAGGCAGCAGGGTAAGTCTGTGCTCTGGCTGCTGGAAAAGCCATTTCAGTCTCTTTGCCAGTCAATCTGGATGACCCTCTGCTGAGGACTCAGGGCCGGGACCTGGCCTCCTGTCTTTCCACACCTTGAGGGTGCACAGCAAAGCCAAGTGCCCTGTGCTTATTTGTGCCCCCTGCCAGATGCTTTCCTGAGCCAGCAGGTACAACTCAGCCCAGCATGAAGGGGACTATCTGCCTTATATGTGACTGTCAACAAGGGAAAAAGGGTGGCATTCCTGATTAGCACCCCAAATGTAGTGGAAGTCACAGGCTTGGAAGAGCTGGGAAAGGACAACTACCCCAGGTTCCCTTTTTGTACCCTTTGGAGCCCCTCAAGACTGGGCACTGAAATTCAGGGGCAATAAAGGAATTTTAAAAAGCCGCTCTAGCTTGCCTTGAGCTAGGAAAGCTGACCCTGCTGGCTGGACCATTAATGGCTCTCCATTAATGGCTGTGAGCAGCAGCTCCCTGAGCCCCAGCAGAAGCATTGGGGAGCTGGCCGTTCAGCCTCTTGACGTCCGTCTCTCCCAATGCCCCGGTTTCTTAATCCTTGAGCTCTGGAGATGAGCTGGGGCACAATGCCCAGGGGCATGTTGACTCCAGGTGGCCAAGACCAAAGCCACGTACGTGGTGGAATGTGAAGCGAGCAGCTCTTGGTTGGTGTTGCGCGGCCACTTTTCCTGGAGTCGGAGAGGATGCCTGAGCCCGGGTGGGCAGGTCGGTCTCCTGGTCCCTCAGGCAGGGCTTTGCTGCAGTCCCCACTGTCTCCTCCCCCTCCTAGGCAGGCCCACCTGCATGAAGACCTCTTCCGAGCTTACTTCAACCTGGGCAACATCCACCTGCGGGAGAAGGAGCATTCCAAGGCCATGCGCTGCCTGGAGCGCGCCCGGGAGTGTGCCTGCAAGATGAAGGAGAAGTACATGGAGAGTGAGTGTTATGCCAGCATTGCCCAGGTGAGAGAGGCGCTTTGGGAAGGGGAAGGGGGTTCACCTGCACCCCTCAGTCTTCTGAGGTCCCCTGTCTTCTTGCTCTGCGCGAGCATGGCTAAACCAAAGAGGGAACCTTACAAGAGTGAGTGGGAGGGAACCCATTCCTATCTCTTGCGTTAAGAGGCGTTCACCTCCAGTCAGAGCAGGCTTCTCCCAGGCTAAAGTCCTGGTGGACCCTTTGCAGCAGAACTCTGGGTGGCCCACGGTTTCATTCTCACAGCAAACTTGTGCGGGAGATTGGGCTACGATTGGAACTGGGCTCAGCTTGGGCCAGTAGGACCAGGCTGAGCCCAGCTCCAATCTTAGTGACAAGCACCAAAGGGGGGGCAGCCCCTCCATTCTGCAGGAAAAATGCAAGGCGGGCGTTCGAGAGGCTCTCTTTGGTGGGGTCTTTGGAAAGGTGAACCGGTGGCTACCTGTACAGGTGAGCCATTCTGCTGCTGATCAGATCCACAGTAGCCAAGCCAAGGCTCCAGAAATCCAGGTGCCTGGCGGAATAACCAAGCAATACCAACAAGGAAATCAAATGCTATTGTCATGTTTTAGCAAATATTGCAAGCCATTGCTGTTAGGGAAGAGCAGCTTAGTGGGCCGGTACTTTTCCTGCTCTGATTTGAGGGAGGGCAGGTTGGGAGGAAACTGGACTTCCTGTGAGGTCCTTGAGATCGAAGGGACCTCCTCCCCTCCTCTGTCCTGTTGGTGAAGGTGTTTGCGGGTGAACTAGGGGCTCTCCTTCCCTGTGCAGAAGCCTCCCCTTGCTTTGGGGGCCTCTTGGCTCTCCCATCTTCCTCCTGGCCTTCTCCCCTCGCTTCTCGCTGGGCTAGAAGCTCTTGGGGTGGAAGCCAACTCAAGCCCCCTTCTGTGCCTGGCCTGCTCATGGCCTCCCATCCCTCCAAGGCTGGGATGGTGTGGCTGAGGCTTCTGGGTGTGAGGGCAGCTGTATCCTGTCTCCTGCCTGAGGAGGGAGTTGTGCTGCTGGCCTGCCCTGGGCGGGGAGGAAGGGGCTGTCTCCAACCCTTGCCCTTGGTCACCCTCAGGTGCTGCTGGGCCTGGGGGACTTCGTGGCTGCCAAGCGATCCCTGAAGAAGGCCTACCTCCTGGGCTCCTGGCAGCCCCAGCAGCGGGACAGCATTGGCCGCAGTCTGCGCTATGGTGAGTGCCGGCGCTTGGGGGGCCCAGCCTCTGGCCCCTGGGGTGGGGTGCTCCATGCCTCACTGTGCTGGTGTGACTCTTCCTGTCCGGCAGCCACGAAGGTGAGCCGCTTGCAGCGAGCCCTGGAAGGCGCAGAGGTGGCTGGCAACCTGCAGGCAGCTCTGGGCCTGTGCGAGCAGCTGGGAGACCTGTTCTGCAAGGCAGGGGACTATCGGCGGGCCGTGGAAGCCTACGACAAGCAGGTGAGGTTGATTGGCGGGCAAAGGCTGTGGGGAAGTCACGTGGAAGAGGGGCTGGCTGCCCCCGCCAGAGAGGCCCCCTCGGGACTCTTGCCCAGCCAGCTGGCTTCCTGCTAGCCTCCGGGTATGCCGGCTGGGCTCAGCAGCTGTCTTGATCCACAGTTGGTTGGGAAGAAAGCCACTGCTGCTCAGTTCACACCACTAGCTCCTGCGGCTTTGCCTGTGAAGGCGTCTGTGGATTTTATCTCCCTTGTCTCTGGGCCGCCTGTCCTCCTTCCGGTGCCCCTTAGAGTCAGATCAAACCCCTGCTGCTCCCTTGATCAGGGGGCAGCCTTGGAGTTGCTGCTGAGCTGGCCAGGCAGTCCTGGCCTTCTAAGATATTCATTCATTCATTCATTCATTCATTCATTCATTCATTCATTCATTCATTCATTCATTCATTCA